TCAACCAAAATTTTTGCTCCTTGACAACTCTAAGGAAGAACTCCACAACTACAGCAGCATGTGTTGCGACCAAAATTGAAACTCTGGAATGGCAGCATATGCTTCAACCCCACCCTAACTGATAACGAACCTCACTACTTTAGGCGCTTGTAGCGCAGGCGCCAGGCATTTTTGCCTCAAACAAGTATGATATTCGTAATCAGGGAGTCAGACTCTCCCTTTGGCAAATTCTGAAATTTTGACCTAACCTCGAAAATTTGGGCAGTCACTTACTCAATCCACCAATCCATTACAAAAGGCTGGCACTTGGGTAGAATAAACCTTTAACACTTTTCATAATAGACAAAAATTGTGTCTGGCTTGCCCGTCTGCATCATCCAAAGATCTGCAAGGCATTATTTCCTAATACAACCCCTTCTCCCCTCTTCCCCGTCGTCCATGATTGGTCAACCCAAAAAAGTGGAGTTTGAGGAGTGGTAATCCCATCACTGCTCCGCTTTTTCTCAATTAGTTCATGACCTCAGATTTGGCGAAAAACTCGTTTAGGGTAGTTTGATCCCCTGAATACGAATATCGCCACGGAAAAGCATAGCACCTGCACTACGGGCACCATGGGCTTTCACAGACAAGTAGTGCTTAAGTTAAGAGGGTCTGCTTGCAAACTCTTCGTAGATGTAGCGTCGGGCGACCATTGATAAAATAACGGATTCAAAAAGGCTTTTCAGCCATGTTGGAAAAAAAGCAAAACACCAATCGCCGAAGGGAACAGAACCCGCAACCTTCCTGGTTAGCCCCTAGAAAAAGAGATAACTCGGGAAGAATTGCGACTATTGATTTTAGTAGCAAAGTGAGATGAGTCGAGCCATCCAGCTCTTAAACAACATTCAGTGGCATTTGTCCACAATTTGAGCAATCTTTTTCCTGTTGCTGCTGTACAGCTTGCCCTAACAACGCTGTGGTTTTTCCTCTCATGTTTTGTGGAATCCGTCGAACACGGAGTGGTTCACAATTCGAGAAGTTTGACTTGTTGCTGTCAGAGAACCGAGTTCTAGTCTTTTCTTCTTCTAGTTCTATGTATAATTAGAAAGGCGTAAACACACTAGTCACCCTACAGCGACCACAATGGTTATTACCAACCGCACCCATCCTCTTTGGCAACCATGCAGCCCGCAAATTGGCTCTACAACCGCGACCACAAACCAACAGACCACATGTGGAGCGCAAGACTTACGTCACCATGGCACTACAATCCAGAAATTGCACGGTTGCCAAAGTTTTCAAAGCACAACTCACAATCCGATCCTCGTTTTCAATTCTCAATTCGCTATGAATTACCCTCCATGATTGAAGGGAACAAATCCGCGAGCACTGGAGTTGGGCCGATTTCGCAGCTCAAACGTGATAAACAAAGATACTAGGAGTCGCTGACGAATGCCCATCCATCAACCAAAATTCTGCTCCTTGACAACTCTAAGGAAGAACTCCACAACTACAGCAGCATGTGTTGCGACCAAAATTGAAACTCTGGAATGGCAGCATATGCTTCAACCCCACCCCGAGCTCTGTGATTGGTAGTTCCGTTTCTGCGATTGACTAATCTGCTGGAGGGGTAGTGAGGGTAGAGCGAGGGCCGCAGTCTCTAGATGTGGCGAGGTTTTCGATTGAAGGAAATAAAGTGAGCAAGATGGGATCCCAATGATGAAACTATGTAACACAGATCCTAAAAGATCGAGGGCTCTGGTTTCAAATTATCGAGTGGTTTTTGCTTACTTCCCTTGATGGAGTGGGCAGCAACTGCGCTTTCATTTAAGTCATTTTAACATGCTCACGCTTAGACTACCCCACGAGACCTACCTTTGACACAATACTTCGCATTCGTTCAATAAACTCACATGTCCGTAGGTAGCCAGCTTCTCTCCCTCTACAGGAAGTACCATTGATACAATCGAGTTGGATGTATTATGAAAGGACAGTAAGTGAACGCTAGAGGACGTCGATGCTCCGAAGGGTACAGCCGTGCCTCCAAATAGCACAACTTGGTTAGAATACGGAGAGCTCTGCACCACTGAAGCAAGAAAAAATTTCGCCAAACCCACTTCATAACATTTTCAGTAATAATACATAATAAAGTAATGATAAACTGATAAATAAACTGATAATGATAAACTAACAGGCAAATGAAGCTAGCGCGGTTGGAAAATTACCAAGAAGATCCATTTCTGTCCATTCTTGTGTCAATAAATTATATCTCCAAACCTGGAACGAAAAGGGCTTTCATCGGAAATCATCACACTAAAATTACTGGCACTCATGTCTGGGGGATGAGGGGGGGGGGGGGGTGAAAGGAGAGGGCATTCGAGTGATTGAGACTCTTACACACTTACAAAACTGGGACTAACTATAAGCTTTACGGAGGAGAGGAGATTCTGGAAAAATGTCCAGGACTTCCTACCAGCGGTTTTTAAATGCCCCCTCCCTCTGTTGCGGGTGACTAGATACAGGGTTTTGCTCGCTTGTACGTAGCCCCGCTCCCGCCAGACGAGAGGTCGTGAGGGATCATCGTCAGCGATGCGCAAACGATGATACTCTCTCCCAAAGCCATGAAAGCCAAATTGCCATAATAGTTTTAGACAGCTAAGAAAACTGACTTCTCTATA